TCAGGACTTTGAGGCTTCCAAGACGGAGTTGTCCCTTCCATTGACCCTGTACGCACCGATGCACTTCCCTCGACGCTCAGAATGAGAGATGAAATGAGTTGCAGTCGGTAGACATGTGAGGCGAGATGGAAACTTGAACGATGCCATGGTGGGTCTCTTTAGCGATTGGAGGGTGCACAGCCTCAGAGAGACATTCCACATTCAATCGAGAACATATTCGCCGGCGATTAATTAGTGCCAGCGAACTAAAAGGGTTCGCTGTGAGGATGTGACAGTTGCCTGCAGCTCGTCAATTAGCCTGCCACTCCCTCGGACCTTTTGTCAGCGGATTTGCTCAGTAATTGCGTTGGATCCCTGGCCTGAGGTTGGGGTTTTGCTTGGATGTTGCAGATCTCATCCGCTTCCGCAGGCAGAGTAATGGAAGTGCCAAGGATTCCAGAACTTGGGGAAAGAGCGTGCCAGGTGGGCGATGTTCGATCCGGTTCAGAACTCCAACAACATTCTAGTCAACATCCTCCCGCTAGACGAGCAGGACGACGGTGCACACGGCTTCAAAGGGCCATCGGCCACGACTCCCCTTTGGCCACAGGCACGAGGTCGTCAGCACTTCAAGCAGACCCGAGCCCATGAGCGGAGACCTCAGCAAAGCATGGGCCTGTGGTGTACCTTCTTCTTCTTCTTCTTGGGTCTGGCAATCAGGTATGGTGGCATGCGCCAAGCCGCAGCTGATCGCCGAAGGAACCTTTGCCTTCTCGAGAGGTGTGGTCTTGACGTCTCTTGTGCAGGGCCTACAAGGCTCCGCATCGCCCAATGCGGATAACATTGGAACAAGAGGCCAGTAGATGGCGGTCTGTTCTTGCCGACGCCTTCCGTTTTTCGGTAGTCCTTGTTGCATCTTGTTGCTGTGCGTCGGCGTAGGCTCCGGATGCATGGCCTGGCCAGCTTGTTTGGCCGCCGATGTCTGGCACATCCTGATCACGAAGTGCTCACCTATCCATTTACCGAGTTTATGGCCTGTTGGGTTTCGGGGTCCGCCTGATCGTTTTGACTTCAGACCAATGCTCCATTTCACGGAGCAGACGTGATGAGCGCGGCCGTATTCTTGTCAAGGCCGCAACCATATGAGTCATATGATGTACGGAGTTACAGGTACATCATCGAAGAGAGCTGCGAAGAACAGCACTTGCTACCTATATAGGAGCACCTGCCATGATATGCCATCCTTTCAAGACCTCTCTTCAGCTTTGAGGGTAGGTTGATGGCTGCTCACTGGCTGCTCTAAATCTTTGCTTGTTCGTCTTGTACATAAAGCCTACATAGCCTTGGTCTTGACCTTATCTTGTATATATCTGCTGCCATAAGGCCCTTGAGTCAGTACGCTAGCTGCTTCGCAATTGAAACGGAAGGACCACCAGTTTTTAATTGGTAACGGAGCTGGTACCCCTCGCGGACCGGCGAAACGGGTCAAGTACCTTGGGATCGTAGTGACCTGGGCGAGTCCATCATTGACCCATTAGTTTTTCCCATGCTTTTCTTGTGCCGTTGATGAATCCTAGCAATGAGGGTGGCAGGTCTCCGTTTTCCTGTTCCAACACCCTGGGTACTCAAAAGACTCGTAGCGGCTCCCACACCTACAGGGGTGACCCCAGTATATTTCACGACGGCGAGTTTCGGACCGCAATGCGGCGATTCGTTCAAAGACGAAATCGACGATTAAGGGCGACAAGTCAGTTGTCGACCCGGACGAATCCGACACCGATGCCGAGATCGAGGCAGCCAGCAGCCGCTGCACCCGTACCTTCCGAGGACGGGCCGGCCGAAGGCGGATCTCATTCGAAGCCGCCTGCATCTTCGAGCCAACGACAAGAAGCTCCACGACAACCTGAAGATGAGCTTCGTACGCTGTGGGATGTCCAGAATGTCTGAACTATTTGGAATGTCTGAAGTATTTGGGGTGTTTGGAATATCTGAATTTTGTGAAATGTCTGGATTCATTGAATTATTTGGCATGTATAGAATATGCGGAAGAATTGAAATAGCTGGCAACGACAATGCTTTTTTGATACATGGAACGTCTGATACGTCGAGAGTGTCTGGAATATTTGGAATATCTGAAATGTTTGGAATGTTCGGGATTCTGAGACATCCGTGTACACATGTATACACAAACGAGAACCTGGATCACAGCGGGCCTTTTACCCTACTACTACTACTACTACTACTACTACTACTACTACTACTACTACTACTACTACTACTACTACTACTACTACTACTACTACTACTACTACTACTACTACTACTACTACTACTACTACTACTACTACTACTACTACTACTACTACTACTACTACTACTACTACTACTACTACTACTACTACTACTACTACTACTACTACTACTACTACTACTACTCCTACTACTCTACTACTACTGCTACTGCTACTACTGCTACTGCTACTGCTACTACTACTGCTGCTACTGCTACTGCTACTGCTACTGCTACTGCTACTGCTACTGCTGCTGCTACTGCTACTGCTACTGCTACTGCTACTGCTACTGCTACTGCTACTGCTACTGCTACTGCTACTGCTACTGCTACTGCTACTGCTACTGCTACTGCTACTGCTACTGCTACTGCTGCTACTGCTACTGCTACTGCTACTGCTACTGCTACTGCTACTGCTACTGCTACTGCTACTGCTACTGCTACTGCTACTGCTACTGCTACTGCTTGCTACTGCTGCTACTGCTGCTACTGCTGCTACTGCTGCTACTGCTGCTACTGCTGCTACTGCTGCTACTGCTGCTACTCCTACTCCTACTCCTACTCCTACTCCTACTACTACTACTACTACTACTACTACTACGTGTTGGGAAACGAAGCGCGGTGTTTGGGAGCAAAATTTTTGCTAATCTTGCTAATCTTGATAATCTTGCGCCACTTGCACCGCTTGCACCACTTGCACCACTTGCGCCACTGGCACCACTTGCACCGCTTGGGCCCGGCAAGATCAGCAAGATTGCCCATCCTTCCCCCCCCCGACGTGGTTCAAGTGGTCAAGTGGCGCAAGTTCAAGTGGTGCAAGTGGTTTTTGGGCAAGCTTGGTGTCAATTTTGCCCTCTTGGCAAAAACAAGATTAGCAAGATTGACTGCACGATCTAGGTCGAATATTGGACATCTATTCCCAGCACACTGTACTACCAGTACTATTACGACGACTACTATTATTATTATTACTACTACTGCTACTGCTACTGCTACTTCTACTACCGCTACTACCACTGCCACTACGACTGCCGCTACTGTTACTACTACTATTACTACTACTACTACTACTACTACTACTACTACTACTACTACTACTACTACTACTACTTCAACAACAACTGCTACTACTACTACTACTACTACTACTACTACGACTACGACTACGACTACGACTACTACTACTACTACGACTACTACTACGACTACGACTACTACTACTACTACTAGTGCTGTTATTGCTTTTCCTATTACTACTATTTCTTCTTCTACTACTACTACTACTACTACTACTACTAGTGCTGTTATTGCTTTTCCTATTACTACTATTTCTACTTCCACTGCCACCACCGCCTACTACCACTTACAACCTGTTATGTAGTACTCTCGCACCTTCTCCCCATGCCTGTTTAACTCTACCTCCGACCTACTACTCCTGGACCCATTGCCGATTTAGCTCTACCTCCCACCTACTACTCCCAGTCCGATGACGACTACGACGACGACGGACAACGACAACGCAGACCGCGACCGGGACCACGACCACGATTACGACAAGATGTCTACTACTGCAACTACCCCCCACAAAGCCAAAACAGAAGGGCTGACCCGCATAATCCACGCTACGACACGAGAGCATTTTGAGCTGGACAGTGCTGGATGGAAGAGCTGCGCGCGGTTGATGCACGAGCGTAAACAGCACGACGACTTATGGCAGCCATGGCAGGTGGGTCAACCTGAACATCAATGCTGATCTCTTTTCGACTTCCTGGTGTCGTTCATTTGTCAAGAACTTGAAGGAGTGTGTACAGGCCAGGGGTCTGAAGGAGAGTGTCCACCCTGCCTCTCAACAAGGGGCTTGTCCGTCCGAGTGATGTGCTGCGCATTTCTTGCCAGCGTAGCGTGTGTGCCCATGACTCTTATTACGAGCTGCTGGAATCCTTCCAGACCGTGGTTTGTCCGCAACTCCCGGGCTTATGCTTTCCATCAACCACCCTCCGTCAATGGCATAGGCCTCGGCGAAGAGAGAGCAGCAAGTTTGAGTCAGTACCGTCTGGTTGTATGATGTAGTTTGATGCAGCGGTCAAACAGATTCCAGCAAATTGAAACTTCTTTTGGTGGACAGGATTTGCAACACCAGCCGCTGCGCCCTGTACTGGCTTCAGGCACACCTGCAGCTGCTTGCAGCACAGGATTTTCAACATCGTTCCTGCACCACTGCGAAATTTGCAGGTTGAGGTGAGGTGCTGTCTGGGGTTTCTCGGCAGCTTGGCATGGCTGCATGCAATCTACAAGACCCATACACACTCTGCTCGATCTGTGTATGGGCCAAGGCAGCTCTGAGCCAAGCAGGCCGTGTGCTGTAAGCGCACTGACTGCTCGGCTGCTGCCCAACGCGGAGTCGAGCCTCATTGTGCAGTGGTTCAAAGTGGCTTCAAAATCGTGCCAATTTCATTCGTCTGCGCAGGCGAGGGTGTGGTTCTTGGTTCGTTTCTTGGCTTTCCCTCAGAATGCTTCGGCCATGCAGTGGTTTGAAGTTCGTCGTAGTGTCGATCGAGTGCAACTCTCCTTGCTGTCACCCCATATTGAGGGATATGCGTTACCTATGCTGGCACTTTAACCCCAAGTACCCATTACCTACGGTAGCATTTCAGCTCCAAGAACTGTGTTTCCTCTCAGACGAGTTCACGCATTCCTGAAAGCTGTTGGATCACTCCTTGCGATTAGCGCGATGGCGTGGCAGTATGTCATGTTGCTTGCCTCGACTTTGGCGTTCCGCAAGGGTGACTTTACAGATTGGGACTGCCGACGTGTGAATTCAAATCTTGTCCTGTGGAACACGCTCCGGGAAGTCGCTGTTGCAGAAGCAGATGCCGCGGAGTCTTCCCTCTTTACGGTCCCGAACCTTGTGTCTACAGCAAGTGAGCTTCTCGCTTGCAGAACTAGTAGTCCATGGCTTTGGCCTTTCGCCAGAAACTTTCAAAGCTAGATAATACTTTCGGACAGAAACCATTTTCAACCAAGTTTCGAGACATCCCATGATGTTTTTGCGACACTGTTCACTGAATGTCCTCTGGGCACAATTTTTCTTCTGGAGATCGCGCTTGGCAGCTGCATGTTGAATCATGGTCAGCACACCTTCGAGCCGTGTGACTGGGCAGCTTCAGGCTTGGATAGTGCGCATGCAGCAGCAGACATTTCATACCCACCGCAACTCAATGGTCCGTACAAGCACAGAAGCTGTGAGATATCGGGAGAGTCCCTGAACTGTGTTTAAGAACGGCATCTTTGGCCTGCAAAACCCGTCCGCAGCAACCTAGCCCCGACCCTTCATCCAACCTTTTCGAGCTCAATCACCGGCCCAGGTGAAGCAACTGGAGATTTGTTGATGGAATTCATGTTTCGGCGGAACGTCTCCATGGCTGTGATACTCACAGCAACGTGGCCGATCAAACGTGCCCTTGACATGCCCTTTCTGTACGAGTTCGGGCTGGACACAGCCAGCAGCTGGCACACCGTCCAGAACAACGCGGCTTACATCTGCGACAAGCAGGTTGTCGATTGGCCGCGCCTCCAAAACCTCATTTGGACCGCGGTTAGAGACCAAGAGGATGTCTTTACAAAGGTTCGCAACATGATCTTCGGGAAGGACATGGTCCAGAACCCTAAACGTTGCAAGTTGTTGGGCTTGGGGTTTGTTCAGTTGCTGACCGTCTACGCTGCCTAGACTAGATGACTTATTGAAAGATGTGGTTGTGAGGAGATGCAGAAGTTGGTGACGGACCAGTTGCAAGATCCGGGCCACTTCGTTCCTGACTGTTTGTTCGGATGGATTGCCACGCTGCTCCTAGACTATGCTTTGACATCCGAAGGCTCTCTTGCTTTGTTTTTGTGTGTATCTCCTTCAGGGGCCGTTTGTAGTTGGAGAGAAGACAGGCGGGACATTCTTTGTGTTGGCTTCTGCCTTGGTATCATGCGAATGCAGGAGAGGCAGAATACTGAATACTTATTGAAGGCTCATCGTCCTGTTGCTCTGAGACCACTTCAAGATTCTGCTGCAGCCGAGTGTTTTGTGGGCTGCCTTGGGTGGAGAAGGTTCCGCAATGACATCCGGCAAGCCAAACTGCAAGGGGTTGTCACGAAACATCTATCTGGCCCGAGACCCTGCCCCTGAAATTGCAAAGCATACTGTTTCGTTCAGGGGCCAGACAGATAATATACATTCGAATTGGAATCAAGGGAAAACGCGCGGTTTTCCAACAACCGCTTTTCAGCCCGAGTCACGAGACATCACCTCACGATTGATGTACAGGCCTGATGTTGAGCACCAGTCAAGAACAGCAGTGAGGCAGTTGTACTATGTATATACTAGTCACTAGCTGTTGAAATACCAGTCTGGCAGGAGCTTGCGTGCCAAGTGTTGTGAGCCTTGCCTGTATGTCTGCATGCGACTCCGTGCACCTGGACGGACCCCATCCGGGCGATGCTCCTCCTCCCCTTCGGTGCTCTCGACATGCGGCCCAGCCTTCACCGTACGGCCCAGCACCTAGACCATACCTAGACCTATATAGAGTCTACAAGATGCTGGTAAAGGGCAACGGTTTTAGACCAATGGCAGGGCCTTGGCGTCTGTGAAGGCAATGATCTTGCCCGTCAGGTAGTGCCGGTCCAGCTCAATCAGCCGCGCGGAGCGATTGATCATCTCGAGGGGGACCACGAAAAGGTACTCGGCATCTCCACACCTGTCAGGAAGCCGTTTGCCTTGGGCACCAGCATGCTGCTGCAGACACGCTTGATGCTGCCTCGAGGATAGGATGAGGATGGTACAACGTCATGGCCCTCCTTGATGCTGGGGGTTGTGAGGCGGATCACAAAACTACACTGGGACTTCAAGATTGGCCATGCTGACGTTGACCATGAGGTCCGGCCGGGATTGCCGAACCACCCATCCCATCTGCCCTATCAAGGCACGAAACTGGCTCTTCTCGTCTTCAGCGAACTCGCCGTTTGGGAGTCGTCCAGCAGGAGGCAGTCGATGCCTTCGATGGCGTCAAACTGGTCCACTTCGATGTCCCATTCCTTCTGCTTCACTTTTTTTGCCCCTCAGAACCTGAACTCCCCACGCTCCACCGAGAGGTGCAGCTCAACTTCCCGCTTCACGACGGAGTCTTCATACATCTTGTACGCTCCAGCATTGAAAAGGTCATCAACATGGGCTGAGAAGTATTCCGACCGGGGTGCCACCGTCGAAGAGAAAAAAGAGTGCTGCTTCGATTCTAGACATGCACCAACCTTCAGGTCACGGAACAACTTCTTCCACCATGACCTCCCTGCGTTCTTGGTACCGTCGATTGATCTCTCGGCTCGGAAAAGAAGGATCCCAGGAGGCGGTGGCCTTGGGGGCCGGAGGATCAGCAGCCGGCTTATCCCCAGTGACTGCAAGTAGGCCGTCAAGGCGTCACTCGCGGCGCTGCTCCATCACCGCCACGGCACAGAGGAGGTTCGAGGCCGTGGCTTCTGCACTCTCTGGCCGGCCATGTCATCAGACAATGCTTCCTCAACTGCGGTGGCCGCTCCCGTCCTTTGGTTTTGTTGTGGTTCTCGAAGGACTTCTGCATCAATTTCGTCGAGAAGACCTCTGCCATCGGGGTGGTCAGGCACAGGAGGCACAAGCTCGGGTAGTCCCAGGTACCAGCACTGTTGCAGGTGGGGCCGAACTGCTTGAGGACGCCTTTTGCACGCAGTAGAAGTTGTGGTGGTTGAGGTGAACCTTGAAACGGGTGGACACGCAGGTCAATGTCTGTCCGGGCTCCGGGAATAAGGCGGTTCGAGGGCCTGCTGTGGAATCATATGAGCAGCCAAAATCTCATCCTCGGAAGCAAAGCGAAGCTGCTCACACAGCACCACAGAGGCTCCATACCGAAGCCAGTGAGAGCGAGTATCTCGGGCTTTTCCAAAACCAATATCTGGAGGAGCGAGGGAAAGCGATCCTGCATGGAATGACAATGGTGGAGGCCAGGATCGCGTCCTCCATGCCGCGAAGCTGCATATCCATCACCACTCGGTCAAAACCCCCTTCCACAAACCACGTGCCTTCTCCATGCGAACTTGCATGGCCTCTTGCTCCACGCCATGGTTTGAGGTACTCGGCGACGTCCTTCAGGCACTCCATGCTGCGGTCGATCTGGATGGAGCTCGGAAATCCAGCCCACGTTGCCCAAGAGGTGAGGAAGTGTCGCAGGACTGCGTGTGTGGTTGGCGGGCCCTGCGCTGGGCCCAAACAGGATAGCTCTTCAAAGCCGGTGGCCTCGCAAACTACATTGAATACTACATTGAGAAAGGCAAACAGGCTGGTATTGATGGCCTTCCCGAAGAAGACGTCCATGGAGTGCACTGGCCCAATCTAGCCCACCACCACCCCCAGCATTCCACCCGGGAAGAGTAGTCGTACTAGCCGAGTAACGACCACGAACTGACAGTAGCGTGCAACGACTCTCCTTTCTCATGGATGTGGCACAAACCTGGAGATTGTCGCTAGCCTTCGGCTAGCCATGCACGGGGTGGGCAGGGTGGGTACTTCAACATTACCCCCCCTGAATAGAAAGTTTCAGTTTTCAGTACCAATACCGTACAATACTTTGTACACCACTTGACGGCACGACAGCAATGCTCAGCAGGCAATCAGATCACTTGCAATCCGGATCCTCTCGGTCTCAATCTTTTCACGGCAGACTTGAGCCTATGCCAATCATGGGCAGCGATCCGCTGGGTGACCCGACATGCCGCCAATGATGCAATGCTTTCTGACACGGTCCCTTGACAATGCATCGGGTGCAATTGTCACAATCAGCATCATTGCCAATTCAAAACGCGGGGCGTGGCACAATCAACTCTACAATGCCCTTGGGGCTGTCTCGCTACCGCAATCTTTTGTGCTGGAATTTCCACGGCAATTCCTTCCGACTGTCATGGAACCAATGAACGAACAAGGCCCACACGAGCAAAGACTCACAGGCTTGTTGCACTCTAACACACTTTTCACACGCCCGTTTGCGGCTCTGTGGAATTCACACTCACGGCCGGCCTTGTAGGAGGAGTGCTCTCATAGTCTGGCGCGGAAGGTTATGTAGGCGAACTTGCCGCTCACCGTCTTGTTGGGTGCGGGCCTTCTCTTCGGAGATGACCAGAAGCCTTCCCGGAACGCTGCCGAGGGCAGGCGTCATCTCCCTTCTGCTCTCCTTGGCGCGGTCGAAGGAAAGCTCACCTTGAGCCTTGAAGGGACAAGCCTGCCCAGGGCCCGGATTGCGCTTCGAAGCACCCTTCTGGTTGACCTTTTTCTGAGCAATCGTCGCGTATCTCCGGAGCTTCCAAGGCACAATCACAACCTTGGAGGAAGTCGTCGATGAGGCCGTCATCGTCATAGTCGGGGCTCCCGTCACCTCATCGTCCTGGGCGCCTTGCTGACCGGTCTCGGCCACCAAAGCAACGATGAACAGGGACACCCAGCCTCAAGACAAGGAGCTGCGTGTTTTGGTCGTTCAGATAAAGGAATTCCTGGGTGAGACGGATTACGACGACGAGAACAACAGCACCTATGCTGTTTGGGTGGACACCTCGCAGATGTTTCGAGCTTGGCTGTGAGTGGGAACCGCTGCTGGAGGCCTTGAGTACCGGAAGGCGGAGGCTGCAGCCCTCTGAAGAAGCCCGTCTCAAGAAGGTCGCTATCCGAGCGGATAGACAGGCCAGAAAGACCAAGATAAAAGGTGTTGGTGACGCCTCTTCGGTTGTACAGTCTGTAAAGCGCTCAAGCCACCCAGCAGTTCTGAATCCTTCACAGGTTTTGAAATTCCAGTCTGGCAGGAGCTTGCATGAGTGCCACGTGTTCTGAGCCTTGCTTGTATGTCTGCATGCGAGTCGGCTGAAGGGATCCCGTTTTGCTGCGAGAAGGGTTGCCGCCGTAGTGCACCCGCGCCACCAGTTGCAGCTACGAGTTGCCAACTCCATGTCATCCCCCCTTGTTACGGGATTTCGTGCAGTCCCCGCTAAAGCTTGCTGCATGTTGCATCCAGCCCTTCGATTCCACAGCTTTCACCAGGCAACTGAGCAGAAAAGCTGTTCAGATACGATGGTTTCGGAGAGACAAGCCAGAAGAATGGTTAAGATGTTGCAGAGATCTGTCGTCGGTACTTGGAAAAAGATGTCCAAACCACCCGCAGATCAGACGTTTTCGTGGTGTTTTCTTTCAGCGCTGCATTCGGCTCCTTGGGCATTTCGGCACAAATCTTTTTTAGAATCGTGCCCGAAGCAACGCTCTCCTTGTTCTTGAGCTTGCTGTCATAGTTTTCGAAACAGGTTTGTTCTCGAATTTGATGCCTTTGTCCGCGAACCTGCTAGGGTCGCTCCTGACGTCGTGAAGCAGTTGTTGTCAAGTAAGCGGTGTGTGGTCGGATGATGTTGCATTACCAAGCAAGGCTCATCTTCGCCGGTCTCACGTGGCACATTGAGTCCTATGTATACTTCTCCTACGAACAAGTGCTGAAGCGATACCTGGCCACAATGGAGTTCTGGGAATTCTTTGGTTCAGGCTGGCTGTTGACCACTCTGATGGGACGCTCGGCAAAAGGACAACCGCGATTCTGTGCCAGTGGTCGCTAAAACTTGAAGGTATGCGCAAACAGAAGTTTAAACCTCCAGCTTCCAGGAGATCCCATGGCCGTGCAGGCATCAAGAGGTCGTTTGATAGGGCTTGGCAATCTTCTACGCACATAGCCAAGTTGTTTGCTTCACCCCCAAACCCTAAGCCCTATATGCTTATATCGTCCACAGTCCTGGTCAAGCTCAAAATCCAGAAGCTTCATCGGCAAGCTTTAACTCTGTAAATCCTAACCTCCCCCTGACCCTACTGTGCGTCCTGAAACTCCGAATCCGTAATCGAACCTTAAAGCTCCCAATCGTGATTCCCAAGCCTGAAACCTTTTGAACGTCAAGGTTTTTCGTGAAGCTGTAAGCCACCCCAGAGGCGTAGCATTAGGCCTAAGCCGTGTAAGCTCACAGTCCCCATCACAGCCTTAGACCCCAAAGCCTGAAACGAAGCCTTAGCTGTGGGAAATCGAGAGGTCCAAGTTAATGTGAGCCGGCTGTCCTGGAACTGGACAAACGCAACAACTTGCCTAATCTCCGCTTGGCGGTGTAGCGCTGGAGGCTTGAGGTTTAGTATTGCGAGTTCTTGTAGCGGAAGCATCGAAAGCCTTATAGCCTTATGGATCCAGGTAAGCCGATCGTATCAGGAATCGTGCAACACATACTTAGGCCCCTGCAAGCATCTTGTCGACAAGCAACCATTGAGGTCAGGTTTGCGTGTTCCATCGCACCATCAACGAGATGGACTTCTCGGGACCGGAGCTTCTCCAAGATACACAGATCCATTCACTGCTCGACATTGGCCATCTGCGACTCAAGGCATCGCCGATTTTCGCTGCAACGGCCGCTGCCGTACTGGGCGAGGGTGCAAGAGCCTACACCGTGAATGGGGAGCGTCGGCTTCTGACATATACGGTGTACGTCTGGGGCGAGGATGGGTTTAGAAATTACCTTCATCGTACATCGTTTTCGTCCCTTGTATTTCTAAGTTTGTCAGCTACTAAAGGCCTTCCTGAAGTGGCTGCCAGCGTACATCAAGCGCTTCCACGGCCTCGGAGTCTACAATCTCATGGTTTACGGTGACTCTGACACGTACAAGGTTTGCTCTGCGATCCAGGGGGCCGTTTGCCTCCAACTGGAGACAAAGAACGCGCTCCACCGCTACACGGTTCCGTTGGCTCTCATGAATCTGGGAGTGGATGTCTTCGTCCTCGATTTCGACATCTATCCCTTTCAGGACTCGCTTGTGATTACGTTTTTGAGGTCTTGGCTGGATTCTGCGAGGACTTTGTGTTTGCTCAGCCCAGAGTCAGCCTCGACACACATCAAGCTTTTCCTCGATTTGGCGGGCCTTCGTAATTCCTGAATCTACACACCTTTCATGGACAACAGCTTGTCGGACTTCCGAGGGTTTGTTAAGGTGTACAGAGAAGTGCTTAGATGTCGTCGCCCTCTCGAGCCAGAGGATCCGACGCCTGTGCTAATTTCTGAAATGGAGAGCTACAGTGTCGTGCCGGAGTTTCTGATTGCTGGCTCATTCGGCGATGCATGCATTTGTAATGCAAGCAGGTTGAATTTGAGAGCGCTTTATTTTTGTCTGTTCGACTTGCAGACACATATTGATTTTTTCAGCAGGCCTCTCGGAATAGCATGCATGCAAGACGCATATACCTCGAGTGTGCCGTTGGACACCCTTATGTGTCCAAAGGAGATGTGGCTGCAGTGAAACGACAAGTCATGCTGAGGCAATGGCGTTCTACCGGAACACCCCGTCGCTCCGCGACTTCATCCGCGGCTTGTTGGTCTGGCTATATGAGCATCCCTTCCCAGGACATGCTATTACGCAGAGGGCGTTGTCTGCTTTTTTAGGGGAAGCCCGGCTGCAAGTCAGGCATGATAGACTGTGATGGGCTTCAGCTTCCCGTTCCCTGCCGTGCTGTACGACTATGCAGCCAGCAAATCTGTATCTGTCATGTGCTGGAGCTCAGTATTCAGAGCACGTCCGAGGAAGCACCATTGCAGAAAACGCAAAGCACGCGCCCATTCGTCGTCAAAGCTGAGAGATTGGCCCCTTGGCTCCCGGAGCGTGCCAGTCCTGGAATCGCCTGGGCCGTGCTCGATCCAGGCCTGTGGCGGGCTGATGAAGAACATTGGCATGAGGTTGATTCGATGATTGGAACGTATAGGAGATCTTAGGTAGATTGTGAGTGAATGTAGAACTCCAACATAGCTAGAGGCAGGTTTGTGTCTTCGCACACATCGTCCTCTTAGCTGTTGTTCACATGTAGCTTGGATCCAGGGACCCACCGTGTCAAAATCCCTGCAGCTGCAGCATAGAATGGGATAGCGGGAAAGTTTTTCTGAAACTCAGTGGCAACCGGAGGGCCCAGCCCAGGTGTGCAGTTTTCCTCGTCGGCCAACCTCGAGACCTCGGGCTGGGCAGGCGATGCAAAGGACCAAGCTCTGCCTGCGCTAAGGTGGTCTGGAACTATCACTAAGTGCAGCAGCAGTCGTAGCAACGTTTGAGGATTGTTGGATGCTGTCGGTAGTCAATGTTTAGGGACCCTGGTGGGCTTCTGCAGAAAACGGCCACTCCACACTCCAACCGCCAGAAACCTGCTGCAGTGAGTTGTGTGCACGGCTGAAGCCGTCTTGTTCCGATCATCGCGTCAACGGCCACCATGGCCGGAACACCTTCCGTCACAGATTTTAGACGCCAGACGACACATGCACAGAGCGGATCATCGACAAGGCCGACTGATCCGCCGCGTGGTTCCTAACCCGAACCGGGCCTGAGCACCTACCAAGGTGCTGCTTGACTACAAAAACGGTCAAACGTATTACAATACTTAAGGACATAAACAGTTACAACTACTTAACTGACTGACTACTTACATGAATACTCAGATAATTGACAAACAGATTGATTGCTGAATAAGTTACTAAATCATCGGGTAGGTAAGTGGTTGGAACTTGCATGCCACTCTTGTCGTTCGCCAGAGCAGCTCAGAAAGCGCTGAGACCTGTCGGCGCGATGAAGGTGGGAAGGGGAAAGGTGGATCGGCTGCATCAGTTTCCACATCCCGTTCACACTGATGTTGCAAAACCTCCCAGCTTGGACTGTGCAAATGTCGGGCTTGCTGGTGGCTTACAGGAGGGCTGCGGAAACAACCTTTTGAGTCATGCGAACCTAAGCTCTGCTTGTAGAGGAAACAGCTTCGTGCACAAACTGTACACAAGGTCACTGAGCAGACTCTACCATAAGCTCTTGGAGCAGAGAAATTGCATGAAGTCTTTCCACGCTTTGCAGACGCAGGTTTGTATGTCGTGAGAGAAAGAATCGCCGTCTGCCTTCGTTTTGCGGTTGGTGGATGGCTTAAGCTGGAATGAGGCACTTTTGCGTCAGCAGGTTATGAGCGCCCAAGATGCTCCGGGGTCTGCGCAGTTGGTCAATGGAATTGGCCAGCGATCTCAGGATGTGGAGAACCGACAAGCGGGACCTGATGGAGATCGAGAGTCAGTCTGGCGATCTGGCGCGCCTAGTTATTGGGTCAAGGCAAACAGCTACACGTACCGGATATGGCGCAGCTGACAAGGCCACCCATGACGATTTCTTTGGTGGCACCTCTGAGGGAAGGACCTGAATCATGGAAGCGGCAGGAAAGGCAACCGGTGCGGACACCTACGAAGAGTCGCTCCTTCACAGGTGAACTGGCTTGGGGCTCTGGATGTGCAAAAAAATGGATGAGCCGGCTGGCCATGGAGAACACTTCTGCCTGGGATGGACAAAGCGTGGCGTCGGCTCAGCCACCCCTTGGAGGACTGACATGTGTACTTCGGTCTCCTCCGAGGACGAGTCGGCGACTTAGAGCAGCCACACCTCCTAGCTCTGATGTTTCTGCTGGTGCGATACCGGCAGAAGTTCGGAGACAATTGGTGGCTATTCCTTCCCGGTGGCAGATGGCAGAGATGCAGAATGATGAGCTGCGCCGGGGGCTGGAAGCGAGCGAGAGCGCTTCCGCAACCTCAGCACTTCGAAGAGGATGTGCTTGTCTTCTAGCTCCACGAACTTAGTTGCGAAGGCCTACCTCAAAGCGATGTAGTCGGTGCTCGGGATGGGCCTAGCCCAGTTCTGCGCCTCGTTCGTAGCCTCCACCTCCGCCTGGCGTTAGTAGCCGTCTTCCACGAGATCACCACACCTGCGGCTTGCGCCCGGTAAGCTAGCGAGGCGGCCGGATCGATAGAAAAGCGTCCTTTAGCATTTTCTTAACGTCTGCCTCGTCAGTGGCCGAGGCAGCAAACTTAGCGACGGTGTCGATGCTGTTGCTTCATAGCTCGGCCTGGATCTCGTCCGAGACCTTGTGTTGGACAAGCAGGAACCGAAGTTCGGACGAATCTAGCGCCGAGCGCCAGCTTCCTTGCCAGTTCCTCTGCCATAGCGTCAAGACCCTTTCTGGGCTTCTGTAGCTGTTCGGTCGGGCCTTCGGCTGGAAAAAGGTATCGTGCTGCCTAGCCCACTACCTAGCCGGCCTCGGTTCCCAGCCCCCCTGCCTGCTCCCCCTTCCCGCTCTCTCTAGCTCTCTCCTCTTCTTTCTGCCTGCCAGAAGATGACTGTAGCGACGCGCAGCAGCACATGACTACAGTCAACATGTAACTGCATATGTCTGTAGCAAAAGGCACCGGTCTTAGCAAGGTCGCCCGCAGTGCTAGCGAGCCCCGCTCCGCTCCGAGGCCGGCCTTTTTGCTCTTAGCGGCTGGTCGGACCAGCGCCTGTGCTGTTAGCGGCCCTTGGGGCGAGCCTTTCTCGCACCCGTCACAAGAATGTGACGAGTGCGTCTCTCGCCCATCTAGGCTCCACCACATGCGCCGGGTGCAGGGTCGAAACCCGCACTCCGGACACATGATAATGCAGCGGAAGATAACGTTGTGGGTGTCCCACTGACCAATAGCCATTGGTAGCCTTGCCCTAACAGCGACATAGCACCCCTTTGGGAGGATAGTGTTAGCAACATAGCGGCAACCCTCGGATCCTGGCAAGCAAGCGCGCGGTCCTGGTCCGTCAGGTTGTCTAGCGCCCCCAAGCCTAGCGGCCAGAGATCGCGGTCCATCCTATAGCCCACGAAAGGTCCAGGAAGTAGCTTTCGCAGCCCTTCGGCATGGAGCTAGCCTAGCGGCCAGAGATCGCGGTCCATCCTATAGCCCACGAAAGGTCCAGGAAGTAGCTTTCGCAGCCCTTCGGCATGGAGCTAGCGAGGGAGTACATGGGTGGCCGCATTCTCCTCATTAGCTCGACCGCAATGTCCGTCCCCTTGCACTCTGTAGCGGTAGCGTCCTCGACCTGGATGTCAGATAGGTCTCCATCCCTTCAGCGGAGCCAGCCTGGTAGTGGCGGAGTCGAAGATATCCCGGCCGGTCTGCGTGGCTAGTTCACCAAGTTGAGGTCCTTTTCAGACTGCGCAATAGCGATGGGGAGGGCGACCCCTAGCCACTTGCCAGGCGGTGGTTCTCCCGACCACAGGGTCTAGCTCGGTTGCGGGCGGCGCATACACCCGCGCTTGCTCTAGGTCTGGGACCTTGACAGGTGGCATGAAACAACATCCAAGTGAGGTTATCGCTGAAATAGCCGTGTGCCCTCCGGAAGACCTTCGCTTCTTCCTTAGCTTCCTGTACAGTAGCACACAGCTTCCTGTAGCCAGACGCCCTTGCCAGCTGCAGCGCCATGTCATCGGCTTCTTCCAGCTTGTATCCTCGCTCAAGGGGGCCAAACCCTTGGTCCACGAGGTGGCGGTACGCCGCTGCTTCTGAGCGAGCGCCTCCGGCTCAGGCCCTGGAACGCCAGCTGTGCTCTCCTCGTGCGTGGCGCCTGCGATAGCATGTTGCGAGGGGATCACAGTCGGCTCTTCATTTGCCTGACCCCCGCCGAGTCGGGGAATCTAGATTGGGACCCCTCGGTATCGTTGCCGCTCATCTAGCGAAGCAGGGCTATTCAACCCTATTTTGCCCCCCACTAGCAGTGGGGTCTGTGAGCACAATGGCCACGGGAATAGCACTTCGATCACGTCCTGCCATGTGCATCCCTGCTCTCGATAGAGCATCGAGATTAGCAACACCTTCGTTCGATGCATTCCCCGCAAACACCTTCGATGTTTTACTATAGTATAGCCGAAACGCCTTCGATGCTTCACGTAACGGATGTTGGTTGCTAGAATACACCGTCGTAACTCATTCCTCGCCACGAGTGCGTCTTTTTCCTTTGCGGACCCACTCAAATTTCTCGTTCCCCACCGTCTAGGAGGACCACCAATGATCGCATCGATGCACCCATTGAGCGCGCCCCACAATAGAAGTCACTATGTGGAGTCATTCATCACATCATGGGCCTTGCACCTATTCATGTCTGGCTCTAGCATCTAGCGCCTCTGTGCTTCCTTGGTCCGACTGGTAAACTCGATAGTGTCCAGGATCTCCTGCAAAGCGGTGAACCACCCACTTCTTGGCCCCGTACAGATAGCGCTTCTGGGGTCGCGTCATAAAGTCTGTTGCCTTCATCACCTTCCAGCCGTCCCCATGAAGTGAACCAACCACACAGGCACTCTCCTGGAACATTCCGAAGAAAACCCGCATCTCGGATGCTCATCCTTGTTCCACGTTGCCTTCGGTGACGTACTCGCTAAGGTAGTCGGTCCAGGAGCGATCCATAGACATCGCCGCCAAGGTGATGCGGTCCTTCGTCGCCTCCGTCCCGTTGATTAACCGTTCCCTTTTTCTTGTCTTCCAGACGGGCTATCAACGACAGAGCGGCAAGCTCGTGGGGCTGCGGGCGCCGGTTCGGGCGTTTCCAACAATGGCCTCTTTGTCGTTCTGTCCGGCCAAGGATCTCGTACTGGTAGACCGCAGCGGCATCAACAAGCAAGCCGTCGAACTCATTCGCGTTGAGTCGATTCTCCCCTGCAAGCTGCGCCAGGACTTGCTCCGACTCTCGTTCTTCCGACGCAGCGGCGTTCCTCAAACAGTGGGTGGCACCCAAATCTAAAAGAGCCGTTGAAGTGGCATTCACCGACGAACTCCGAAGGCAGGGTCTTAAACGTTCTGCTAGGACAGGAACACAGCTGGTGCATCGTAAGCCAATGTACAGGAACAGCCTGAGGCTGTCCGTGACACGCAGGCTCCGATCGGCCGGGAATTGAATGCCGAATGTCACCGATTTTGGGGCTCCATGCACGTCGCTGTTCGCGAGCTTCACGCAGACTGGCCTAATGTTCAGCATTGTATTCCGGTTGTCCACGTGCTTCCTCGGATGATGGTGCCGCTCGGGCACTCTTACATTGTTACGCGAGGCCTTTCCGCCGCTGTTTGGCCGCTCATGCGCGACACCTTCTTCTTGGTCCCGGGAGTTTTCAGGACCTATCGTTCCGGCAGCGGCAGCGATCTGCGCGGAGAACTCGTGAACGAGATCTTCATCGTGGAGTCGAAACAAAGCCGGCTCAGGCCGTCGAGGTTTCATGGAGCGGAAAGTGTCAGTGTTCTCCATCGGGGTCGGAGGCCGCTCCTAGTCAGTCGGACTCCAACAGCAGTGCACAACAGGTGGTCATTGCCCATCGTGATTTTGTGGAAGAGGCCTGCGCCTCCGACACTTTCCAGTTTCAAGTTTCAACCAGGTTCTGTAGAACCTCCTGGAGACGCCGTGTCTACTCCCTTTTGCTGTGCCTCCTTGACGGTGTTGCCATCTATAATTCGATCGCTTTTCCATCAAAAGGAAGTAATTCGTCGCGAGTTCTTGCCAAGTGCCTTTGAAGGATTGCGGCCGTATCTGTTGCCTTCGACCTCTTCCTGCAAGTCCTCTAATGCCCAGTGCGCCTCGCCGAACAGGTTGGAGTGTTGGCTTCCTTGCCTCGTGTGGGGTGCTGAGCTGGGTCTTGGGTCTGCCTGTTCCGCGGTGCATCCATGCTAGTTGTAGCTGCCGCTCCCCTTCGGACTGAACGTTGGGCTTTCCCGGCCGGAGGGGGTTTCAGTACAACCGCCGGTTTAGCTGTTCGGGCAGAGATTCGGACGGCGCTGCCCGGATTGCTACCACATCGTCGAAAAAATAGTGCACTTCTTTTGCACCATGCACATGCGCCCAAAGCACTGGTTCTCTCTATTCGTTTTGGGTTTGCGGGGTGGCACGATGGCGGAGGATTGTCTTTTGACGGCCGTGCAAAGACGGCCGCCTGCGACCTGTGCACGTTTCACGCACTGGGCAGAACAGCGTGAAGCTCGTGGCAGCGTGGCATTCGCATGTGGACGTCAAGATCATCCGTGATCTTCTTCAGGTCGAAAAATGGTAGCATATGCCGCTGAAGCAGAGCAACGCACCACACTCTCCTGCACACAATGGCATTGTAGCATCTTGTAAATCTGGCCACCTACGACCTGTGCATTTCGCTTCTGCTGCTGCAAACAAGACCGAAGCTTGTGGCAGATATGTGTGGGCGACCAGACTTTTTTGAAAGTCTCTTCTGCACAGCATTTTGAGAAATGCATACATTCAAAAGCTCTTGCGCGCACGAGAAACATGCTCTGTGCGGACGCAGTACAATACCGAGCGGGAAGCATGAACAACCACAGAAAACAAAATTTGTTAGAAATCCCCAAATCCAACAGAAAAACATGAATATGATTGCCATTTTCGTGACAATCGAAAATTCCGAGCAGATCCTGGCGTTTGCATGCCACATTGGTTTATAATTGATGGAGTGTTGCTTGTTTGCCAGGCGGCAAAGCTTCAGAAAGAAGCTGCTTTGCTCATTCGGTTAGAAGCAGCCGAAAAACAGCCACAGCACAAAAAAGGCGAGAGTGGCACGAATATAGAAAGTAGACTGATCTGATTTGCGCCTGTTTTCCAGCCGTTACTGCAAAGAAGCTCTTAAACAGCTTGCACTGGTAGTATCTTGACGAACGATTGCGACCAGACACTTTTTAAAAGTGCCCGAAGTTCAGTTAAGCCCAGATCTACACAATGTTGGGCCCTTGCAAACGAGAGACTATTCAAGATTATTCAAGTATGGAGTTGGTGATCGTAAAGTTGTTTGTAAATTCAATTTGAAGATTA